TGTATAGGGTTTCCGAGGAGCAGCTGGTGAGCTTGAACCGCCAACCTTGCAGTTCAAATGGCTTTGCAGTCTGGTGCATTAACCCACAGCACCACACCAAGAGTCCATCATTCTAAGCAGGAGCAGGCAGTGGTAATTTCATGGTAGAATTCTCACCTTCTGAGTAGGAGGTTCAGGTTCAATTCCCATTCAGTACAGCTCATGAATAGATACCATCTGTCTGTTTATGGTTTATTTGCTGTGGTAGCGTAGTAATTACAAGTTGGGCTGCTAACCTCAAGGTCAGCAGTTCAAAACTACCAGCCATTCTCAGGAGAAAGATGAGACTTTCTGCTCCCATAAAGAGTTGCAGCCTCGGAAACCCTAGGCAGGCTTGCTCTGAGTCCTAACTGACTCCATGGCACACCACAACCAGCACCAGCACTGTGATGCTGAACACGTTTCAGGGGGCTTTAGATTAAAACAGAATAGGAAGAAAGGCCTGGCAAAAATCAGCCAGTGAAAACTGATGGGTCATAATGGTTTGATATGCATCTGGTCATGAGGATGGTACTGGACGCAGCAGCTTTTTGTTTTGTGGCACACTGGGGTCACCATGAGTTGAGACCAACTCTGTGGCAGCAACCAACAAGCACAGAAGCCAGGGAACGCCTGAGCCTCAGAGAGATGGTTGAGTGCACTAGGCACCCTGGTAGATCTGGGCTCCAGCCACTTCCTGAGCCCAGAAGCCTCGCCCGGTGCCCTGAGCCAGCGCTGTTCACCTAGGAAAGCAGTGTTGCCAGGGTAAACCTGGTCTCTTCAGTGTTTGTCTCAGGGCACTCCTGGCTCACTGCTGTAGCCAGTACTAACTGAGGGACTGGCAAGGCTGCTCTTGGAAATTAAGATGGAAAAGGCAAGAGCTGGCAAAGCAGGGATCATAATAACAGCCATGCCACCAGAGTTAGCTGTAAGGAGATGGCTTAAATATCATAGTTCCTCATCTATGAGGAGTTGTGCCCAAATAACACCTGAGCCATCGCCTCTAGTCCATTTGACGAAGTTGCAGGGCAGGGCACTTGTTCTGCCCCCTGGCTTCCCTTCTCTGGCCTGAGTCCTTCTTGCTGCAGCTCTGACCCTCCACTCTTGGGGGCACCTGTCCAGGAACAGTGGGGCCATGTATCATTTGCCTGGACCTCCTTCCTGTGATTGACTTCCTCCCTGTTCCTACCGCTGATCCCTCAGGTGCCTAGCTTGATTCCTGATTTTTAATCTAGATTTCCTTTCATTAACTTTTCTGCCACCTTGCATATAAGAAGAGTGCGGTAGTTGTGTGTGCCACGGAGTCGATTCTGACTCAGAGTGATCCCGTATAGAGTTTCCGTAAGTCTTTATGGGAGCACAAAGCCTCACTCATCTTTCTCCTGTGGAGCATCTGATGGACTCAAACTGCTGACCTTGAGGTTAGCAGCCCACAGCATAACCCACTGAACTAGCAGGACCCAGAGGGGGAATGGACAGGGTGAGATCAAGAAGTGCCTACCCAACCACCACTGGGTTGTTACTCAATGCTGTCAAGTCGGTTTCAACTCATAGCGACCCTGCGTAGGGTTTCTGAGGAGCGGTTGGTGATTTTGAACCACCGACCTTACAGTTCAAACAGGCCATGAGGTTCAGGGCTTATCTCGCAGCGCCATACCACCAACACCAGTTTCCATCAAGTCAAATGTCGGCTAATGCCGACCCTGTGAGTGTCAGAGTAGAATTGGGCTCAAAAGGTTTTCAGTGGCTCATTTTTCAGATGTAGATCGCTAAGCCTGTCTTTCAATGGACCCCTGGGTAGACTTGACCCTCCAGCCTTTCCAGTAACAGTGAACACATCCAGATTCTGCTTACTTGGCACTATTTCAGGGGAAAACTTCAGTCTTTAGGTGACTGTCATAAAGCCAGTAAACCCAGGACAGTCATCACAAGAGCCCATGATTACAGTGCATCCTCTGCCCCTAAAGCACCCAACCTCTGGCTGTCACCTGTTGCCCATTCAGGTAAAGCACCTGCATAGTTCCTCCAGCATCTATAGACCTGGGTGTCTACCTGCACCGTCTCACAGAGCTTACCGCCTGCATCATCCACACTCAGCATACCAGACCACCTGCCATCTCCTGTGATACCTCCTTAGGGGCACATGTCCTTTTGGAATGAAAAGTGGCATCACCTACATGCTTTCGGCAGTCGTTGGTCACTTGTGCAGTCGTTGGTCACTTGTGCGGAGTGTTTGTCCTTCTTCTCGGTGAAGGGCTGAAGGTAGAGGTAGGGGAGAAGTTGCTTGACACTTAACCAAGAAGTGAGGGAGTGCTCGGTGAATGAATACTTTGTGTTCTGGGTCTTGACAAGGTGCGCTCTTGGCACCGTGGTTTGAATCCACCAGGTGTTCTATGACAGAAAGGTGTGACAGGAGTCTCCTTCCATAAAGCTTGCCCTTGGGGCAGTTCTGTTCAGTCTTTCAGGGATTGCTGAGTTGGCATCAACTCAGCAGCAGTGGGTGGCTGGGGGTTGACACATCTGACAGGACTGGGGTCTACCTTGTTTCCACTTTGCAGACCTGTAAAATGAGGCTGGGAGAGGTTAGGTCACATCTCAGGATCGCATAACTAAGAATGGGAGGTTGTTGTAGTTGTTGTTGTTAAGTGCTGTCAAGTCAGTTCCGACTCAATAGAGACCCTGTACAGGGTTTCAGAGGAGTGACTGGTGTGTTTGAACTGCTGACCCTGCAGTTCAAACCAACCTTGAGGTTGAGTGCTTATCTTACAGCACCATACCAGTGGCGGTATTTTAGACTCCGTGGTACTGGTGTGCCATGGTGTCAGTTCTAACTCATAGCGACCTCTATAGGGTTTCTGAGGCTGTAAAACATTATGGGAACAGAAAGCCTCCTCTTTCTCCCATGGAGCAGCTGGTAGTTTTGAACTGCTGAACTTGAGGTTAGCAGCCCAACTCATAACCACTACGCTACCAGTAACTGGGATTTTTGTGCTAACCTGGCTTTGCACGTTTCATATATTAGTTAACTAACCTCAAGTGTGAAAACAGGCCTCTTTATTGGCTGAAAGTTTACTAAAGCAAAAGATCTTTTGACCCCAGAACATTTCCTCTTTATTGTCTTTTCTAGTGTAGTTAATGCCTATATGCAAAATATTCAACCTCAGGATAAGACTTGAGTTCTACCTCTGAGAATGTACAGTCCAACCAAGAACTGTTTCATCAGCGTATGAGAAATTAAGCAACCATGGTCAGCTCTGTAAGCAGGAATTAAAAGGACAAGGAAGTGACAAGTCACCATGGTAGACAGGAATTTGTGGGTGTGCTTTTCAAAAGGGATGCTGAGTGGTGGACATGTCCAGCTACAGCTGGGAAGGAGCCAGGCATGCTTAGAGGGGAGCTGGAAAGGTGGGGATGATGTGTTGTGACAATGTGTGGCAGGCTGAGCTTGAAATTAGAAACATTATCAAAATGTTTGAATGCCAAGTCCTACCCTGGTTCTTGTTGGGGAGACATTTTGTAAGCCTGGATGAGTGTGTTGTTGTTGTTGTTAAGTGTTGTCAAGTCAGTCCCAACTCATGGCAGCCATGTATAGGGTTTCCGGAGAGTTGCTGGTGAGCTTGAACTGCCAATCTTACGGTTCAAACTATTGCAGTCCAGCACATTAACCCCAGCGCCACACCAGGACTCCTGGATGAATATAGGGGAGGTATATTGAGTAGTGAAAGCCACGTAATCATTCCAGGTCTGATATTTAAGATGGATCATTTATCCCAAATGACAAGTTGAGAGAAAGCATCCAGTGTGATTCTAGGCATGTCCCCATGACTTTTCACTGGTAGTTTTAGTATGTTTATGTAAGTGTTGTGGTGAGTCTCCTCAGTGTTTTCAGAGGACTTGGTGTGTGTAAAAGGACTAGCTCTCCAGTAGAGGGTTTCACAAGGATAATTAGTTTAGCATCTACCTCAATGTGCACTTTCAAATCAGAAACTCAAAACATGGCCCATGTGTTCTTGAATAAGCTGATCCTGTTTGCCTACAGCTTTACAGCAGGCCAAACCGACTCCTGTCTGGCGTGCCTCTGTACAAAGGGGATGGACAGACCCAAGACAAGTCTGCTGTCACCTCTCTGCTGGATGGACTGAACCAGGCTTTTGAGGAGGTTTCGTCCCAGGTAGGATGTGCCGCGGGTTTGCCTTTGAATGTCACTGCCACTCCTGCATCTGACCCAATGCTCATGGTTGGTCCCCAAAGAAATGGAGCCACTGTAGTCTGGTTCGTCTTGGTGTCCTCCTTTGCGTACTCAACCCACCCTGACTGACTCTGCTCCTTGACTTTTGTTTCCAGGGTGGAGGACCGCAAGGGCAAAACATTCACCTAGAACAGAAGCTCTATGACGGGGTCTCAGCTACCTCCACGTGGCTGGATGACGTAGAAGAACGCTTATTTGTTGCCACAGCTCTGTTACCAGAAGAAACAGAAACTTGCCTCCTGAATCAAGAGGTGAGTGTTTCAGCTGATGTCTGTGAGTGTGTCATGTTGCCAAGTCCTTGACATTTTGATACTGGATAATTAAATCTAGGAATGAAGAAGATAGAGTATGAAACCAAGCAATAAAGAACAAATGAGACATTTTTATAAGCAGCTTAATGCAGAATGTTGTTGATATTAAGTATCATTGAGTCGGTTCCCACTCATAGGCTTTCTGAGTTGTCACTGGTGAGCTTGAACCGCCAAACTTGCAGTTCAAACGTCTTTGCAGTCTGACGCATTAACCCACAGTGCCACACCAGGACTCCTAATGCAGAACAGAATGGCCTAAAGAGAAATTGTTCTCAAAGCTGTTTCTGTTTTGCATGTTATTCTTTATCTTGTGTGTGTATTAAGAACAAAAAGTGGAGATCTGTTTTGGTAAAAACATTCTTGCATATCACAAATACTGAAATTAGAAACATCATCGAAATGTTCAAATGCTAAGTCCTATCATGGTTCTTGCTGGAGAGGCATTGTGTATGCCTGGGTTTGAACCGTTGGTCTTGTGATTATCAGTCCAGTGCTGATCCTACAGCACCACATGTAAATTGTAAATTGAGTAATGAAAGCAGACATCAGCCCAGGTGGAGTATATAAAATGAATTATTACTCCAAAATGAGAAGTTGAAAGACTGTGATGTGATTTATAAACATATAAAATACATGCTAAGAAGAAGTGATGTACTGAATTTGTAATACGTTATAAAATTCATTTTTAGGTGAAATGTATATTATTAGTAGTAATAATGTAAAGTTCCTGAGAATCTCTTCAAAAACAACTTCTGTAAAGTCTACAAAAGAGTCCAACTTGCTTTCGGTGTGCGCACTACTGAGTGCTGAGTCGTTTCAGAATGGAATGGCTCTGTTTGCTGTTCATTTGTGGATCTGTACATTGAAACAAACCTTCTCTTTCATCAACCCTAGACTCTTGCCAAAGATCTTAAGGAAATGTCTGAGGAAGTGGATAAGAACAAGAACTTGTTTGCCCAAGCATTCCCAGAGAAAGGTGATAACCGGGGCGTTATTGAAGACACATTAGGTTGCCTTTTGGGGAGATTATCCTTGTTGGACTCAGTAGTGAATCAGCGATGTCATCAAATGAAGGAACGACTCCAGCAAATACTAAATTTTCAGGTAAGTAAGACATTGTCAGGGGACTTTTAACCATTCTCAAAGTATATTCCATAATAATCAACAGGATGTCTTGTTGAGGTCTGTTACAAACAAAATTTTTCCCCAAATGTACAATGAATGAATAGCAATAATGTACAGAGAATTGAGGATAAGAGTTAGAAAGCTAATTAATTTTCACGCTCCTATTGTTGAGAAAATGACCCAGTCAAATTAAGGACTAAATAAAACTTCGAATGCAACTAAGTCAAGTGAAATTCATGGCACATTACAATTGTAATTTCCAGTTAATAATTGTTGTTATGTGTCATCGAGTTACTTCTGACTCAGAGCAACTCTATACAGGGTTTCCAAGAAACAGCCAGTGGATTTGAACCATTGGCCTTGCCAGTAGGATAAGCAGCCCAGTGCTTATCCTACAGCGCCACACCAGATCAATTAATAATGTTGTTGTTAAATGCTGTCAAGTTGGTTCTGACCCATAGTGACCCTGTATAGGGTTTCCAATGAGCAGCTGGTGAGCTTGAACTGGCGACCTTGTGGTTCAAACCAACTTTGCAGTCCAATGCATTAGCCCACAGCACCACACCAGGAGTATTAATAACAGTAAAGTTTAAACCACATTACCCAGGAAGTCTTAGGATTGCTGTAATATAAAAAGAACCCTAAACCCTAAACTCAGGAGCCTTTGAAAATGCCTTTGGCCTCACTCTTTCTACCTGTGTTAAAATCTGTAGCATTATTTTCTGACCATAACTCCTCAGACAAGTAGCCTTTTAACCCCAGATTATGGATCTGTTGTCAAACAAATCATTGTTTGCCTATGAAACTTTGCCTATGACTATGTACAGAGATAAATGCAAAAGAAAGCTGCTAAAAGCTTTTAGCTTTAATTATCATTCCTAACAACAACAAAAGATCCTTTTGAAATGCCTCTTGTAGCGTGTGGTTACAAATTGGGCTGCTGACCTCAGTGTCCACAGTCCAAAACTACCAACTGTTACACGGGAGAAAGATGAAGCTTTCTGCTCGCGTGAAGACTTACAGCCTAGGAACCATGTACAGAGTTGCTGTTAATCGGAACCAACTCCACTGCACATAACAAACAACAAAAGTTTAACCACAAAGTCGGCAGCTCAAGCTCGCCAGCCGCTCTTTGGAAACCCTATACATGGTTGCTATGGGTCGGAAACGCTCGACAGCACATAACAACAATATATATATGGAGAGAGAGAGAGTGTGTGTGAGTGTCCTGGTGTGGGTTAATGCACTGGACTGCAAGGTTGTATATGCAAATCTGTGGCGAAGATCTGGGCTGGATATCTGCATATATGTCAGGATGTGTCAGGAATGAACATTATATCAGGAATCAGATAAGTGACAGTGATTGTTTCGGTGCTTTGTTTGGAGGAAAGATGCACAGTCAGTCTACCATCAGCAAGACTGCCCTTTAACTGATGCAAACTTGTCTCATTACTTTAAAATGCATCTTGTGTGAAATTATACGCTGTATAATAATAGCATACTATTCTATCAGCCATGAAGCAGGTGGGTTAAAAGTACAAATGTGTATCAATTAAAGGCATTTTCCCCTTGATTGGATTGCATTTGCTATGTTAAGTCTTTTTGGCACTTTAAGTGTAATAATAGTCCTAGTAAAATTCAAACGATGCATGAATATTCTGCCACTTTATTGTATGGGGCTAATAGAAAAGCATGCAATCAGGAAATCCATTTTTGAAATCATGTTCTCTAGGGTTTTTTTGTGTGTTTTTTTTTCTGCCAACAAGTCTGTTCTTGTTGGTGGCCAGCTCATGAACAAAAACTGACATTTCGAAATGTTTGTGTCCCAGTTGAATTGAGAGAAAGAGCTCCAATGGTGATATAATTAAAGGGCAAACCGCAAACCGTTTTCTTTTACTTTGCACCAAACACCTGATATGCTTTGGTGCTCAATTTTGATTGGCATTGCATGGCTTTATTTACCAAAAGTGTTAGCTGGTACCAGACTTCCCAATAGACTATTGGGAGACTGCAGCGATGCTGCGTAGATATCTCTGAGCAATATGGAGTCACAAACAAGTCGGCAATGAACTAGTCGGCCTTTTTACATTTGAGATTTAATTCCAAACCAAGTAAATGTAATCTAATATTCCTGGTGTGGCCCTGTAGGATAAGCACTCAACCACAAGGTCTATTTGAACTACAAATAGACCTTGTGTTATTGCTGTTCAAACTCACCAGCCGCCCTTTGGAGTTGGAACCAACTCGATGGCACTTAACCACCACAACAAGCTATTGAAAAAGTGAACATGAAATAATGCTTGAATTAATGAGTGAGGTAGTACAGCAGACTTTAAAACATGAGACTTTGCACAGATGTGTTTCTCAGGTGGTTAGAATCCTGGCCTTTGATGTAGTCTCATTATAGTGAATACAATGGAAAACATTGTAATGCTCATGCTATGTGTGCAGTATATGGTGGTACTGTGTGTCAGTTATGAGTCAGTTCTGACTCATAGTGTCCCTTTATACTAGACTAGAACTGCCTCAAAGGGCTTCTGAGGCTGTGATCTCAGTTAAGCAGACCTCCAAGTATTTTCTCCTGTGGAGCTGCTGGTGAGTTTGCACCACCCGTCTTTCGATCAGCAGCCAAGAGCTTAAGGATCCTGCAGTGTTACACGCCCTCAGTATCTGTGTATATCACACAGGTAGTAACTAAAATGGTTCAAGCCACGGGATGCTTATGTTTAAGAAAATATCAGTATCCATGTGATTATTTTTTTAAAAAATCAACAAACCCACTGGCATTGAGTAGATTGCGACTCATAGCCACCCTGAATAGGGTTTCCAAGGCTATATATTTTTAACAGAAACAGAAAGATTCATGTTTCTCCCATGGAGTAGATGGTGGGTTTGAACTGCCAACCTGGTGGTTACCAGTCCAGTGCTTACCCCACAGCACCACCAGGACTTATTAACAATTTTTAAAGTTTTTTATTTAGTAATTGGTGGTGGTTATGTGACGTGGAGTCAGTTCTGACTCATAGCGACCCTGTACAGGGTTTCCGAGGCTGTAAGTCTTTACAGGAGTAGAAAGCCTCATCTTTCTCCCACGGAACAGCTGGTAGTTTTGAACTGCTGACCATGAGATTAGCAGCTTGATTTGTAACCACTATGTTATTTAGTACTTAGTAATCTGTCCTGTCCTGATGTGGCGCTGTGGGTTAATGCACCAGACTGCAAAGCCATTTGAACTGCAAGGTCGGCAGTTCAAGCTCACCAGCTGCTCCTTGGAAACCCTATACAGGGTCGCTATGGGTCAGAATTGACTCTATGGCACTTAACAACAACAATCTATTTATTTAGAACCCTAATTCTCTGCTCTCCCGTCTTCTTAACCCCGCCTCTCTCAGTATGAGGGTGATCAACTCTATGGCCATGGGTTTGTTGTTTGGTGATAGAAAGCATGACGTCAGTATCCTACTATCTAAATAGAATATAATTAAGATAGAAAATACGCTACCAAAAATATAAAGATGTTACCCAGGATATAGACACGTACGTTTTCATTTCTAACCCATGCTATGTTATTTGTGATTATCTACTCACTTTGGCTAGCTGGATGAATGAATGTGAAACATCTTGAAATGCACGTAGAAACTGATGAGCATGCCCTGTCAAGTCTAATGAGCCTTATTATGTCACTGTGAACACAGGTCAATAATGCAAACATGATCATAATCCTGTGCAGAGCTCTTGTCATTCCGTTTCCTTGTTAGTCGGCCTCTGGGCTCCTAGATTGGTTAGAGTTTTGGTGGGTAACAATGCTTTTCTGTTAGGGTCCTATTTGTTGTTGTTGTTGTTGTTAGGTGCCATCGAGTCGGTACTGACCGACAGTGACATTATGCACAGCAGAACTAAACACTGCCTGATACTGGGCCAACCTCACTACTGTTACTATGCTTGAGTCCATCAATGCTGCCACTTGGCCAATCCATCTCTTCCTCTTTTCCTCTGAGCCTCCACCTTACCAAACATGATATCCCTCTCCAGCAACTGCTCCCTCCTGACTATATATCCAAAGTATGAGAGACAAAGTTTGGCCATCTTAGCCTCTAAGGAGCACTCTGGCTGCACTTCGTCCAACTCAGATCTGTTGGTTCTTTTGGCAGCCCATGGCACTTTCAATATTCTCCTCCAACACTATAACTCAAAAACATCAATTTTTCTGCAGTCTTCCTTTTTCAAGCAAAGATGTCAGCTTGAGGACTGAGGTGCGCCTGACCCAAGCTATGGTATTTTCAATAACCTCATATGCATGCGAAAGCTGGACAGTGAATAAGGAAGACCGTAGGATCCTATGGTGCTCCGTAATTCTCATGCTCAGTACTGTATTTCCATCCTCATGTATTTGGGGCTGCATGTTGCCTTCTATTTTGCTTTGTGGTCTTGCATTTTATGTTAAAATGCTCTACTCATCCTTGGTAGAATCCATCTTCTTGATGTGACTGTCTTTTTCCTCATGAGAGAGAACTTTAGTACTTAGTTACATTCATTTGTATCTGACCAGCCTCATGTAAGTTGATCTTAAACCTCTAATTAACAAGCTTCAATTATACTCATACCTATATGTTTGTATATATGTATATGTTGTTGTTATTGCTAAGTGCAATTGAGTCTGTTCTGACCCATAGCAACACTGTATCAGGTTTCCAAAGAGCAGCTGGTGAGCTTGAATCAGAGACCTTGTGGTTCAAACCAATATTGCAGTCTAGTGCATTAACCCACAGCACCACACCAGAACTCCATGTCACTGCAGGATCAGCACTAGACTGAATTACAAGGTTGGCAGTTCAAACCTCCCAGCTGCTCCTTGGAAACCCTGTATAGGGTCTCTGTGAGTCGGAACCAACTTAATGGCATGTAACAATAACAGCAACATATATGTATGTGTATATATGACCATACACATATATGTGAAAGGTTATTTCCATGTTTTTCAGAATAAAAATTCAAAGTTTTAAAATTCAAAATTTCTTCCAGTTCATTATTAACTTAAGTTCTAAAATTCTGATAGTTGTTTTCTTTCTTGTACAAATCTAACTTTATGTCTTAAGTGTATGTGATCATTTTAATGAGTCATATTTATGAACAACAGGCTTAGCTAAGATCTTTTTGTGATGTCCTTTCATACGTTTTTGGTCATCATGGGTAATATTTATTTTATCAATGCATGAATGGTATTTTATAAGCTTGTGCATATTCCTTGAAAATAGAAAAAGGACCGAAGAAAGAAAAAGAAAGAGGAAGAGACAGAAAAAATGAAATTGTATTGTTCTTAAGAATTATATTTTTTCCCAGTTCAGGTTAATACATATGTAGGATTTTTTATTTGTTTGTTTTTTACTAGAAAAGCATCAGGACCATAGTATTTCTGCTGAAACATTCAGAGGTCTACTTTTAATTCAAACATAGCAAGAAGATTAGCATGACTAGTAATGCTTTTTATTTGCATTCCACCAGTCCATTTATATTAGATGGGAAACATTTGGTGTAACAGCTTCATTAAAAGTAAATTTCAGCACTTAGGTAAATTGTTATCTTCTCAGAGAGAGGTACTGTTTCTTTCGGGAATTAAGCATCTACATTGTAATTTCTAAGACGCTATGTGATATTAACAACCACTTTAAATTTCCCATTACACATGTTAAGCCTGTCTGTTGCTTCCCTCCTCAGAATGATCTGAAGGTACTATTCACATCACTGGCTGACACCAAGTACATCACTCTCCAGAAGCTGGCGAATGTGTTTGAACAGCCTGTAGCAGAACAAATAGAGGTAATTACAGTTACATTTTCCTGAAAATGGGAAGAGCAAATGCCTAGAGTAGAATAGCTTTGTGATGAAATTTGAAATACTCTATGAAAGATTAGTTGCTTACCATGTGGTAGTTTTCTGTGTGTCATTTGTGTTGCTTTAAAGTCCTGGATTTGGGTAACTGTGGTGGGATAGGTTAACTTCTCAGAGCACTAAGATATGTCAGACTGGCGAGGGAGGGAGAGAAGATCTGTGGACATTCAGAAGAGGACGATTGGATGCAGCAGTGATAGGGTCAGGGAAGAGAAATTTCAGCAGGACAGAGATTGGGAGGAAGTAAAGAGAACAGCAGAAACAAAGGGCTCTTTTTGAAAAAAACTAGAGCAGTTAGTGGAGAAAAAAAAAAAAAGTAAACCGATCTAACTAGACTTACAATATATGAAGATTGTCGTGGTGGTGTCTATGTGCTGTGGAGTCAGTTCAAACTCATAGCAACCCTGTATAGGGTTCCAAGGCTATAAATCTTTATGGGAGCAAAAAGTCTCATCTTTCTTGGGTGAAATGGCTGGTAGTTTTGAACTGCTGACCGTGAGGTTAGCAGCCCAACTTGTAACCACTACACTACCAGAGCTCCTTCGAAGAGAAATCCTGGTGTGGCATCACTGTAGGATAAGCACTGGACTGTTAACCACAGGCCAGCTGTTCAAACACACTAGCAGCTCTTCGGAAACCCTATACAGGGTCACTTTGAATCAGAACTTACTTGACAGCATTAAACAACAATTATTGAAGAGAAATAAGACATTGATAAATGTGTGGACTTTTTTGTGAATAACCTGCCTGACTTAAAAAAACACCACCTTGATCAGCGATGTTAATTTCTTGCCTTGGATTTGTAATGTGAAATGAAGGATCTATATGATCACAAATGGCAACTGAGCCCTGTTGTGGTGCTTCACGATAATGTGCTAGACCACAAGGTCAGTGTGCACTGCAAGGTTGGTGGTTCAAACCCACCAGCCATTCCTGGGAAAACCTATACAGGGTTGCTGTGGGTCAGAACCAGCACTTAACAACACCATGGAGGTTGGGGTGGAATTAGCACATTCATTACATGCTTTCCACTCATTCAAAGAAATAATCTAATAGTTTATTTCTTGATCTGTGGTATTTCCTTTATTTACGTTGCTATAGTTGTGTTAAGTGCTGTTGAGTTGATTCTGACCCATAGCGACCCTGTATAGGGTTTCTGAGAAGCGGCTGGTGAGTTTGAACTGCCGACCTAGCAGTCAAGTGCTTATCCCACAGCAGCACCCCATAGACCTTGAGTTGATGCTGTAAACTGCTGATAGTCCAATCACACAAATATCCACACCTCTTCCCTGTGGGCTCTTTTTTGTCTCCCTTCTCTCTCTCTCCCTTTCGCTTGCCCTCTTTTTCATTTGCTATAATTGATTCCAACTTAATTGCCACCTGGTGTTGCCTTGGCAATCCTGTGTTGAGCCTCCTGTACTTTTTAAAATTAAATTTTACTTTATCAAATTAATAAGCGAAGGCACTTATCTAAAGTGACGGCATTTTTCTGGACTATAATCTTCTTTGCTTTAAAACATTATCCTTCATTCTCCCAGTTCTTTGAAGTTCAAAAAGTCAAATAGTGCCAAAACATCTGGAGCAAAACTAAATTGCTTCCTGCTCTGCCTGTCCTCCTTCAAGCAGCTCCCTTCCCTTTGTACTTTCAGCTAATTTCCCCAATATCACTGACAGACTCTAGATTTCTAAACACTGTGTATATTTATTTTTCACTTTATCCATTTTAGACCTGCCCTATTGATTTTCTGTTATGGTAAAGGGGTTTAATCCTCTTACACCATCCTTCTGTTTTGTCTCTCTCATCCTCCCAATATACTTGATGGTACTTTTAGTTAAATTCATTTTTGTTATCACCACCACATGTCTGTCAGTCTGTCGTACTGTGGTGGCTTGTGAGTTGCTGTGATTCTGGAATTTATGCCACCGGTATTTTAAATACCAGCAGGGTCACCCATGATGGACAGGTTTCAGATGAGCTTCCAGTCAAGACAGACTAGGAAGAAGGGGTGACAAACTACTTCCGAATATTTGGTCACTGAAAACTTTATGAATAGCAGAGAAACACTGTCAGTTATGAGCCCCTCAGGTTGGAAGGCACTCAAAATGTGACTGGGGAAGAGCTGCCTCCTCAAAGTAGGGTTGACCATGAGAAGGATATCATGTTTGGTGAGGTGGAGGGTCAGGGAAAAAAAGAAAGACCCCCATCGAGATGGATTGGCAAAGTGGCAGCATCAATGGGCTCAAGCATGGCAACAATTGTGAGGTTGGACCAAGACTGGGCAGTGTTTTCGTTCTGTTGTGCGTAGGGTGGCCATGAGTCGGTACCAACTTGATGGCACCTAACAACAATATTTGTTGCCTACAGTCTTATGCCTGTGTTACATAGTGTGCTATAAAACACTATGATTTTCCCCCTTTTTATTTTTTCACAAAGTTAAAAATTGCTCTGTATGTTTGTGATGCTTAAATTTTTTTTGTACCTATTTCGAATTCTTCTTGCCACATCTAAAACTTCCCCTCTAGTACTCTCCGTGAAGCCACACCACATTAGATAATCTGCCAGCTTCACTCATTGTTTTACAAACGTGTTCTTTCTAACCCCAGGATTGCTCACTGCTCTCTGTCCTCCTGAGACTTCCTTGTACCAACAACACTCTTTATGATCAGTTTTGTTTTTCTCCTGAGCAGAATTCCTTGTTTCCTGGATACCATGTTTGCATCTTTCTTGGGAGAGTAAAGAATGATCACAGTCCAGTAGCTTTCTTTTGTTTAAAAAGGCAACAGTAATCATTTAAAAAGAAAGAAAGAAAGGCAACAATAACAGAAAACCTGGGCTCCTTGATGGTGCAAAAGATTAAGCACTGACAGGTTTGAACCCCTACATCCCACCTCCAAGAAGCACCTCAAAAGACTTGCTTTGAAAAACCCTATGTAACATGCATGGGCATGTCATCAGAACTCAGAATAGACTCAGTGGCAGCGAATCGCAGCAGCAGAGGGCACATGACAATGCTCCTCAGTGTCTCTTGAGTCTGGACCAGACCTTTGCCCCGGAAGCACAGTCATCTTCTTGGAATCCCTCTTTACCACCATTCTGAGGATTTCTCCCATTTTCTCCCCACGTCAAATCTTCTCTTTCCTGAGTCCCATGTCTTTATTAGATTGCTTCCTTATTTTGCTAGAGCACAAGAGCACATTGTTACTAAAAAAGCATGCATGATAGGCCTTTTTTTTTTTTTGAGACCTACCATGTCTAAAAATGTGTTTTTACAATGCGACAAGCTTGGCTCAGAATAGAATTCTTGGTTGGAAATCAGTTTCTTTCACAGTTTTGAGTTGTCTGCCCATTGCTTTCTAACTTTTAGTGTTGATGGGAGAAAGATGAGGCTTTCTGTTCCTCCAGTCTTGGAAACTCTGTACAGGGTCACTGTGAGTCAGAACTGACTCATCGACTCTTAACAACAGCAAGAGTGTTGGCTTGAGAAATCGGTAATCATTCTAATTCCCAATGGTGTTGTGTTGGTAAGTGCCATCAAACCTGTTTGAACTCATAGTGACCTTGTAGGGTTTCTGAGGAGTGGCTGCTGGGTTTGAACGTCTTACCTTGTGGTATAAACCAACCTTGCAGTCCTGCAGTGCCACGCCATTCTGAAATTTTACAATAATAAGCCTTTGAGAGAGTCTGTTTTTGCCTTTTGTGCTGAAAGCTTCAATAGCCCTTTTAATTTGATAACTCATAGTTTTTCTTTCTGGGAAACTTGATGATTTATTTTACACTTCTTTCCCTCCATTTAATTGTCTCTCTTCCTGGTTTAGATGTTGAATGTTCTGGTCCTCTCCTCTTGTTGTCTTTAGCTCTACTTCCTGAGAGTTTGCCTCACTTTCAACTTCAAACCCTTCTCCTGCGTTTATGTCTTCTCTTGTGTGTTTAATTTACAAGAACTCTTTTTGATTCTCTAAATTATCCCCTTTTTTTAAAAAAAAAAACAAAACCCCTTTTTATTGTGAGTTGGGTGAAGGGTTACAGAGCAGATCAGTTTTGCGTTCAACAATTCAGACACATTTTGTTTCATGTCATTGTGTGCCCTCCTCACAATGTAACATCCGTTATCTAACTTTCTTCCTGTGTTTCCTGTTTCCATTCCTTCTTCTGAGCTTTATCCTTGGTTGATTAGTGTGCATACCTGCCTGTATTATTGTTCCCATTAGAGGACTGTCTAGTTTTTAGCTGAACATCGAGCCATGGAGGTGCGTTCAGTTCCATACCTGAAGGATGGCTGAGGACCACTGTCTCAGGAATCCTGCTGTTCTCCATCTGACCAGTAAACCTGGACTTTGGAATGTGGAATGTGGGTCCACATTTTTCTCCCACTCTGTCCAGAGCAGTTGGTGGTGGTATCCAGGCACCATCCGTCTAGTTCTAGTCTCAGAGGTGTGGAAACTAATGTTCCTGTGGGCCAATGGCTTCCATGCATCACGACTTTCTTCACTCTTGGAGTGACCTTTTTTGGTGGTGTCCTTTCCTTGTTAATGAGTACATTAATGTTTTGTAATCTCTCTGAAGATATTCAGAATCATTTTTGGCAAAGTTTTATTTTTCCTGTAGAATGTTTTTCTCCATGTTGCTTTTTCTTGTTTCCTTATTTATATCGGATATAATAGAGGTGTTTCTCAGCTATACAGAAATGCTTTGTTGTCTACTCGTATTTAGAACTGGGGGATTAACAAAAAAGCTGAATGTGAACTTTGTGTATGGATGGGGTTTGACAACTTAGGACTTGTAGTGAAGGGTGCTCTCTCTGCCTGGGACATTTACTGGAGAATCCTTGTATCTAATGTTTAGGTATTTTCTGTGTGAAGGGCAAAGGTCTGGCATTCAGCATTCAGTGGTATTGGATCAATTCATTCCTCTGTTTTCAGTCAAGTCCTCAAGCCCACAACTGTGGCTGTTGCTACTCAGTCCAAAGATGATTTTAACTTCTCCGTAAAATAACTTCTGATTTTTCCCAGGGAAGGGAAGATGAAGTATAGGGCAAGAAGGGAGGTTTAGAGACCTAAGGACTTTTCAACAGCTTCTCAATAGCCTTTCTTCTTCCACCCCATCCCCTGATCCAGTGGTCTGAAAGTTCTTGATCCTATGAAGTGTGACTGCCCTGTAAACACAGGGTTAAGCTCTAGCAGCTTTCTAAAATCGATTCATATGAACGCTGGTTTCCAGATTCCAAAGTTTTGTTGCTGTTGTCTTCCTTCCATTTTCTTGTCCTGGTAGATTTATAGTAGCGGAAAACACATACAAAAATGAGCACTCTCAGCTGTGGTTGGAGGGGAGTTTCAGGAGAAAGGAAATTGGATGCGTAAGTTTCTTCTGCCATCTGGAGCCCACACACTTTCATCCCCTCAAGCGCAACTGAGGTCACTCTCGACCCAAAGCCAGCATCACTTGTGGCTTCCATCTCCAAACTCCTTCAAAAGGGATGCTTTTCATCATCAAGTTCAGCATGCACTTAATTCTGCTCATCCTTGTTTTGTTTGCCTCTGTTTACCTGGTTTCCTAACCACATCATAAGCCCTTTGGAGACCAGGATGAGACCTTGCTCTGCTTCCACAGCCCCCTCACTGGGTAGAGTGGGGCTTAGCTCTAGTAGATGTGTTAATACTCATTGATAGATGATTTTTCACAATGAGTAAGTATTCCCTAATCATACTTAGTGGTGCTGTAGGATAAGCACTGGACTGCTAACTGCAAGGTCGGTGGCTTAAAGCCACTAGCTGTTCCTCGTAAACCCTATATAGGGCCGCTAAGAGTTGGCAACAACTTGACGGCTCTCAACAACAATAGCAACCACATTCTAGTATATTTTTCTGTTGCCTTGTTGAAACTGTCTCTGAAGACACTCACATCTTCTTTATGGGAAACCAGAGCATGATCACCTAGAAAACGCCTTTTCCTAGTTGTATTCTGCGCCATGCTACATTTTCAGATGTTGCAATTCACGAATTCCCGTATTTGTTTGAGAAAATCATTGTTCTCTCAAGCCACTAGTTCTCAGCTGCCTCTTTACCGTTAGATCATTGATCTCTGCTTTATGGTAAAGTGTTTCCATTCTTTCCTGCTGAACCGAAGAGCATGGCTTACAGATTTTATTAAAATGAGTCTGTTCCTGTGACTGAGAATGCTTTACATGGAGGGAAGAGGAACAAATGAAATGACAAAGCTATCAAATTTTTCAGAGAAAATTGTTCTGGGTGTTCTAATGATGTGTCATAAAATTTGCTTAGGCATTACAACAGGCCGAAGAGGGGCTGAAGGAATTGGATGCAGGAATCATTGCATTAAAGAAGCGAGGTGACAAGCTGCAGGTTGAACAGCCTTCCCTCCAAGAACTCTCCAAACTCCAGGTATCATTTTCAACCAACAGTGTGCAGCTTGAGTGGCATTTCCTAATTTGAAGTCAAGAAGAAATTGCTTTCTCTGTTTTCTTGGTTTTCTCTGTAGAATTCATGTCATTTCGCTCTGCACCTTTCTTCCAAGTATCCCTTAGAACAGGTTCTGAAACTTTTACCATATTTAGTGCCAAAAAATGAATTGTATTTTTATGCTTTGAAGATTTACCTTTTCCTGACATTTTGTTCATTACTATTCTGGTAGCTAACCATGGAGATAAGGAGCTCTGGTAGCATAGTGGTTACGAGTCGGGCTGCGAACCGCAAGGCCAGCAGTTCGAAACTACCAGCTGCTCCGTGGGAGAAAGATGAGGTGTTCTGCTCCCGTAAAGATCTACAGCCTCAGAAACCCTGTATAGGGTCGCTATGGATCGGAACCGACTCCACAGCACTTAATAACAACAACAAGCATGGAGATATGGTTGTAGTAGATGATTTTCTAGTCTAGAAAATAGAATAATTATGGATCCTACCTAGAAAAGTAAAAAGAGAGCTATCTTCCAGGTTTTGTACAATCCCTCATAAAAAAAAATGTTCTAAGAAAAAAATTCTAAGCTAATAATTTTTAGACAGTGGTTTTTATAAGGTATTCAAAAACTATAGTTGACCTTTTATATATGTTTGAATGGACAAACAGTATTGTATGAATTCCAGACCAGCAACTACAACAAAAATTAAATGTAGAAGTTAGCTGAAATTTCACAGATGTCCCCACATTTTTCCTTAGTGGATATTTACACTTGGGGTACACTTTTCTAGATCTGATACTAGGCAGGGATCCAATATTTGGATGAGAGGAAGATGCTGAGATATTGTTTTAGGAAAAGTTAGTATCGGATAGGCAACACAGATACATTAAGAAAAAATATGTATAGTGACAAATGCGTGCACACACACACAAAAAAACATTTTTTTCTCTTACTGAAGAACCATTAAAAGAGTAGTATGAATTTAGGAGTGTGGATGGCTTAAGTAGTTTGTGATTGGTTACTTGGTATAACACCATAAGGTCACCAGTTCAAACCCACCAGTTAATGCACAGAAACCTATAAATGGTCGCTATGAGTCAGAACCAGCTCAATGACACTTAAGAACAACTAACCTTTCAACATGTTGGCAGTTAAAACCCACCCAGTGGCCCCACAGAAGAAAGACCTGGAGAATCCCATAAAGATTACCACCAAGAAAACCCTAGGGAGCAATTCTGCTCACCATGAGTTGACAATGACTTGCGAGCAGCCATCAACAACAGTAACAGTACAAGCCCAGTACAGATTTTTGAGAAAATAAGCTTTTCTTTTGTGAAAATCAGCTAGTTCTTAGAAACAAAAGAACATTTTCATTTTAACTGTACCATTCCTTTATGTGACACTTCATGCTGCATTGAGCCCCCTGCTCTGCTCCCATCAGGTACTTCTTAAATGTTTTCCCAGCAGTACTTTGGCTGAAGGTGTCAGGGTTAAAAGTCACAGTTATAAACAGTCATTAAAGTTGAACTTCTCCAGATTGAACCATCTTGACCTGCTGCAACCCAATATGATGCATTAATCAGATCCTTATGCCTCAAATAAATTTTGTGTTTCATGCATCATCATCTCCTAAAATGTCTTTCCAGTTAAAATAATTATTTACTCACCACATTTGGCAAAAACAGTGCCTTTTTCAGCCTACAAATCTCTTCCTACTCACATTAAACTCCTCTTTTTTTGAATAATAGTCCAAGGTCTGATTATTGTTAAACAGACAAAACTGTAGGGATGTTCAGTTCAATTGTGGTGGAATTATATAAACTTTGATTGTCGTTGTTAAGTGCCATCGAGTCGGTTCCGACTCATAGTGAACTTTGATAGTATTCTGCAGATTTCAATGGCATGATCTTGGCACATCTCTCTCAGCCACATGGACAGCTTTTCAACATCCTAACCCCACATCTCATCGTAAATTGTCAACACCCTGAGTCAGACAGTTGTTAAATCTCCCTCCTGTGCTATTTCTGGGCAACAATTTGGCAGATCCTTTGGAATATTAGAATGTTAAGCTTATCTTTTAAAAAGATGTTTTCAAAGTAAAGACACCTGTGAGAGACCAGCAGCTCAGGTAGGCCGCCAACCAAAGGAGCATCTTGAGTTTGTCGAGGCACTGGGCCAGTTCCATGCTTTGAGGGAGGTGCCAGACCCAGGCTCAGAGTGAGTGTTGCTGTCCTTGTTTCCCAGGACATGTATGATGAACTGATGGTGACCATCGGCTCCCGGCGCAGTGGACTGAACCAGAATCTGGCACTCAAGAGTCAGTATGAGAGGGCCCTTCAGGATCTGGCTGACCTGCTGGAAACTGGACGAGAAAAGATGGCAGGAGACCAGAAAATCATCGTGTCTTCCAAAGAGGAAGTCCAACAACTACTTAACAAGCACAAGGTAAAAAAATAAAAACGGAGTAGACTTGTGAATACATATCAGCATGTTCTCACTCGCTGGTGTATATTTTAAAAAGTGGTGCTGGAGCATAAACACTGGGCAGCTAACCCCAAGGTGGGCAGTTCAAACCCACCAGTCACTCCTTGGAAACCCTACACAGGGTCACTAAGAGTCAGATCCCACTTGACAGACACACAACATCAACAACAATATCCCTTTATCTTTTGTAAACTTGTACATGTCACTCTTGAAAATGGTCAGTTAAAGTATCTTCAAACCCACAAGCATTCAATAGCACAGAGAAATTGTAAGGGGGCTTTTCTGTCATTTGGTAATTTTCATCATTACTTATCATTTGAACCATCTGTTCCTTACTATGATTAGCCAGGCTTTCTCCTTTCAAAAGCTACAGTCAAGGAAATGCAGTAACTTGTGTCGAAGAAGCCCAGTTCTGTACTGAAATTTGCAGTTTCCTCTGTGTCTTTGTACCCGTCTGTTCATGGAGTGCTGGGCGTTGCCTGTGTTCTCAGTTGTCCCAGCCAGGGCCTTCTCTCCCTGTTGTCCGTGTCACTGTGTCTGTCGCAGCATCAGTCATTTGTCCTCAAGCACATACCCTTTGGAGTTGTGGTTGGTGTTGGAGTCTCTCTGGGCAGTGTCTTGCAGCACAGTCACACCTGGACAGGTTCATGGTGCTCGCTACGACGCCACCCAGCTCAGGCCGGACACAATTGCTTGCTAAAGAGATACTGATGTAACACACAGACAGTCACTCTTGAATTACTACTAGCAGTGGTTCTGGAACGCGCAGTTTTCCTTCCAGGAACCCAACCTCCCAGACTATGGGAATTTCCTAGAGGAAAACTGGAAAACTTGAATACAATTGGGTTAGCGATGGCTATCCATATTCTGCCATTATGTCAATCTCTGGTGGCGTATAAAGGTGAACTTAAAAAAAAAGTACTTCATGTTGTGTTTTTTCCCTCAGAGGTTTTTTTCCAAAACTGACGACTTTATGGTTTATTAAAAAAAGCCTTATCATTTGGCTTTGGAAACGTTGCTTTCAAGTTCACAGCTGGTTTTCCTCAAGTCTTCAAGCATAGCTATAAAAGATCATTCTGAGTTACCCCAGAGGGGAGACTGGGATCAATGAACATAAATAACAAGGAAATAAACTCAGACAAGAAGAACTCTTAGAGGAGCAGGCTGCCACTGAAAAGATATCAGTGTTGGACATGAGAAATCCTGTGAGTCTGTCAGCTGAAGAAGGGGCTGAAATGAAACTCAGCTTGGGCTGAATGTTGGGCTAGAGGACCAACCACCGTATTTAAGATTCTGTGATACAATAATTCTCAGTTAACAACAGTCCAAATGCTGACCAGATCATTTTTCTCAGAGAGCAACCTGTCGTGTAGTCGGGATCACAAATACAACCACACTAAGACCACCCCAGCTGCTGTCGAGTTGACCCCAATGCATGGTGAGCCTGTGTGTGTCAGAGTAGAACTGGGCTCTGCTCTATAGGGTTACCACTATCTGGTTTTACAGAAATTGATCGCCAGGTCTTTCTTCAGAGCTGTCTTTGGTTGGACGTGGACCTCCAACCTGCTGCTGAGCAGTCAAGTATGTTGACTCTCTGCACCACTGAGGAACTCCACAGCCACACAAATCCAATGAAAAAGCTGAAAGGCTTGTCACCTTTGAGTTGATTCTGATCCTTACCAACCCAATAAGACAGAGTGGGACTGCCCCGTAAGATTTCCCAGACTCTCAGTCTAGGGAAGGAGACCTCATAGCACAATAAGTAAACATTCAGCTGCTAAAGGAAAGAGCACACCCTGCACTGCTCTGTGGGAGAAAGATGTGTCCTGCATTCTGCTTCCGTAAAGATTTATAGCCTTGGAAATCCGTCAGAGCACTTCTACTCTGTCCAGCGGTCACTAGGAGTCAAGAGCAGTGGGTGGGAATCTTGGTAGGAGCAGACTACCACATCTTCCTCCCACGGAGCGATCAATGGGTTCAAACCACAGACCTTTGGGTTAACAGCCAAGTACTTAACCATCTGAGTCATCACGGCTCCTTTCACCACACTGCAGTTGTTGTTGTTGTTGTTAAGTGCTGTCAAGTCATTGCCCACTCATGGTGACCCTGTGTAGGGTTTCCCAGGAGCAGCTGGTGAGTTTGAACCATGTTCTGCCTCTACTTCCTGACCGTGAGGGTGTTACTAAGCTGGGTGACTCCCTTGCCTCATGGATAAGAAGGCGAACAGAAGTGCCCACTGTATAGACCCATCACTAGGATGTAACGAATCAGTCAGGAGGCAGTGTCTAGAGCATGCTCAGTCCATGGTAAGTACACAATTGACGCTAAATGCCCTGTCCTTCCGTTCTTTCCATGGTACTGCTCATGGGAAAAACGCTAGCCTCGTCCTCTGGGGTCTTTCACAAGTAAAAAGTAACATTTCAGGAACATCTGTGGGGTTACCCAAGGACTGCAGTTCTGCTGTGGGTAGGCCAATAGGAGGGACACTAATAACAGTACCTATTGGTCCATGCCCAGAGGACTTAGCAGTGAGAAATCAGCACAGAGAATGCCCAGAAGAAGAGTCACTGAATGTGTCAAATGACATTTCAAGAGGAGAAGATGAGCAGAGGCCCGAGGTGGGGCAAAGGGGGCTGATGTGGACAAGGGATGAGGGGGGCCAGTGTGTATGTGGTGGAAACCGAGTTGGAAAAGTAAAGCAGGCCAGGTGTTTAAGAAGCAGTGGAGATTTTCAGCAACTGGTAACTGGTGAAAAGCTTTGTTTTGGGGACAGGGTGTCTGTGGCACAGAAGAAGTGTAGGGCACACTTGAGTGGGGAGATTGTTGTTGTATTAAGTGCTATCAAGTCAGTTCTGACTCATAGTGACTCTTGTATAGGGTTTCTGAGGAGCAGCTGGTAGGTTTGAACTGACGACCTTGTGGTTCACAGTCCAGTGCTGACCCTATAGCACCACACCAGGAGTACTGATCTTCATGTTGTTATTGTTAAAGTGCTGTTGAGTTGGTTCTGACTCATAGCAACTCTCTATAGGGTTTCTAAGGAGCTGCCAACCTTGTAGTTCAAACGGACCTTGTGGTCCAGTGCTTTATATCCCCCAGTGCCACACCAGGACTTCATGGAAGAGGCTCATCAGGAGACTGGAGCCCCCTTCTCTGCAGGCAGTGTTGAGCTCCTGGGATGAGGTAGAGGCGAATGGGAATGGAATAGAATGGCTCCTATCTTAGCTGGGTTTTGTCAGCGTTGACACTTGAAGCACTTTTAACCATGAGGTGGTAGATAAATGAGTCACTGACCTCTTTCTATTTGAAAACTTGCAGGAATACTTTCAAGGCCTGGAATCTCATATGATCTTGACTGAAACCCTCTTCAGAAAGATAATCAGCTTTGCGGGCCTGAAGGAAACTCAGTTCCACGCAGAAGTGATGGCTCAGGCATCTGCTGTGCTGAAACGGGCTCACAAGAGGGGCGTGGAACTGGAGTACGTCCTAGAGGTGAGAGACTTCTGATGTGGCATCCACCCTACCATGGGCACTGTCCTGCACAGCGGATTGTGAGGAGGAGGATGTGTTTACTCATGTGGCTTGCCTCTTATCAGTGTGAAGCTGGCTGCTCCCTGCCCCACAGAGCTGAGTTCTTCCTGAAGTTCCCTTTGTACCCACACAATTCATGCTGTGTCTAGATGTATGCTACACCTTTGTGCAAGTCAGATCCATCAATACTGACTTCCGGTGGTGCAGTGAGAGGCTTTGAGTTGATATTCAGACTGGTAACTTAATACAGAGTGTGAACAGTATAGAACTATATCCCTGGATCTGGATAGAAGGCAGCTGCTCTTAGAATAGACCTGTCACTAGGGTCCCTCAGCCAAAGGCCAGCCCCCCGGGTCCGTGTGTTTGTATGCTGCAAGTTGAAAATGAAGGATTCAGATAATATTAGAGAAAGAATTCCGAACTTGAGGTTGATAAATCTGGATTCAGATTTAGGAACTATTGTTGTTGTTAAATGCAGTCAGGTCGGTTCCGGCTCATAGTGACCCTGCACTGGGTTTCTGAGGAGCAGCTTGTGAGCTGAACCATTGACCTTGCAGTTCAAACTGACTTTGCATCCAGTGCATTCATCCCGCAGTGCCACACAGGACTCCCTTTAGGAACAATTTGTGATGATTTCATCTTGGTGACTGCTGTTAACTTACGGTCTGACCTGTCACAAAAGGAAATTGTGAAAATCCGTTTTTCCCTTTATTCACTTTCTCATCTTGCCACACTTTTACTCACTCAGCATCTACCAAACTGCCTCTAGTTTGCCAGGCAAACCAAAGTCCTGGTGTGGCACGCTGTAGGGTAAGCGTTGGACTGCTAACCTTCGAGTCAGTGGTTCAAACCTATCAGCCGTTCCTCATACACCCTATAGTGGCCAACTCAATAGCATTTGACAATATCACTATATAAGGCACAGGTAACCCGAATACCAGTATGGCCATGACCCTGTCCTTAGAAATCACATTGCCTAGTGTGTTGACTGAGTGTGTCATGAATACTCAGAATACAGTATGGAAAGTTTGTAGAGAAGGAAACAGTCTACCGTATGCTAAGTCTGTGCATAACATCTGGATCATGAGCGTGAAAGATGTTGTGTATGGCAAAAGCACACACTCGAGAACAGGGTTAGCCTATGGGTCAAATGTGGCCCACTCCCTGGTTTTGAAAATAAAGTATTAATGGAACCTATAAAGGTTTATGGAGTCCTGGTGTGGTGCTGTGTGTTAATGCACTGGACTGTAACTGCAGGATCAGTGGTTCAAGCTCACCAGCCTCTCCTCGGAAACCCTATATAGGGTCGCCATGAGTCGGTGTCTACTCGACAGCACTTAATAACAACAAACGACAGCATAAAGGTTTATCATTAGATGCACTGTCTACGGCTGCTTTCACATGACACTGGAGGAGTGAAATCGTTCCAGCAGAGACACTGTGGCCACAAAGCGGAAAGTATTCATAGTCTGACCTGTTTATTTTGGCTTCAGCTCCAACTTCAGCACAAGGCTGTAGCCTTGAATGTGTGGGAGGGCTCAGAAGATGCATACTGGTAAATTCTCGAAGCCTGTGTCAGTCTCCAAAACCCTAATACCAAATGCACCGCCGTCCAGCCGATTCTGACTCTTAGTAACCCAGGGCGGGGTTTCCAACACTGTAAATCTTTACAGGAGCAGACAACCTCATCTTTCTCCTGTGGAGCAACTGGTGGGCTAGAACCGCCAAACTTGTGGTTAGCAGCCCAGTGGCTCCTTTGTGTAGTCTTTTCCTCAGTATGGTGATGATGGTTATGTGCCGTGGAGTCGGTTTCTACTCATAGCTACGACTCTGTACAGGGTTTCCGAGACTGTACATCTTTACGGGAGCAGAAAGTCTCATCTTTCTCCCATGGAACAGCTGGTAGTTTTGAACTGCTGACCTTGTGGTTAGCAGCCTGATTCATAACCACTACACTACCAGAGCTCCTGTATACTTGCCATAAACTTTTCCTGTTTTATCATTCTTGTTTTCCTCTCCTCTTTCTTTCCTCCCCTTGCTGACATTACCAGCCCTACCAAGTTTGCCTAAAGGTCATATTTACATTTTTCTAAGTCCTTTCTTCCATGGGTCGATAATATCATAACTAGCTAACCCATCAAATCCCTCAGCCATGCCATCCCCAATGCACTGTGATTATGTAGAGAATTTCTCTTTGACACTTGAAACCTTTGAAGAATGTCTGCTCTTCCTTGCGGTCAGTGCCCTGGCTAGGTTGTTGGTGATGATATCCCTGTATCTTCACCGTAACCTCTATGATAGTGATGTGACTGTCTGTTTCAGACAACCTTGAAGTTCAGAGCCATTTCTTGCCAAGACACATGATTAAATGGTGGCAGAATTAGGGATCAAAACCTAGTCTGTCAGATTCCATGGCCTGAAATGTGCGTTTCTCAATGAGACCCGCTCAAAGGACTCCTTTAATCATAGCTCAGCAACGTGCCTGGGCACACCTTCTGCCTCTCTTGGCTTTTCTTTTCTGCCCAGGGCACTAGCACTTTCTAGGATACCATGCAGCTTACTGGTCTTTTGTGTTTATTGTTCACTGTGCATCTCTTCTCTCTAGACTCTAAGTTCCACAAAGGTAACGATGTTGGGATTCTTTGGTACTCGTGATTTACTTTTTAAATAAGTTTTTATTGTGAGTTGAGTGATAGTTTACTTGGGAGAACATCGATTTACACTCATCGTTTCATTGCAGTGACTACAATCTCTGTGCATCATCATTCAAGTCTATGCCTTCTCTTTCTTTCTTTCTCTCTCTTTTTTTTTTTTTTGGATGTACACAGAAACAACCAAAGGGCACATTCTGCAAGCCTGCTTCCTGGCTCCCAGCATACAGCCTTTCTCTTTACATGAGTCTAGAATCCTCAGCTGCTCCCTCTCTCTATGTCCTCATCTCTGCCCCCATTTCTGGATAGGGTCCCACATTCTGCTTGTGCTCTTCTCCCTTGATGGTCCTAGGGTCCTTTGTTCCTGGACTATAAGATTAAGTACTCCTCTGTTTTTGTTACAAAACTTCTTCCTTTACAGTTGAGACAGCTGCAATTAGTCGTGATAATAATTACTCACTATTGAATCATAAGAATCCCATCCCCATCTCCTTTCACCAGACCCGTCTAAACAAAATGAAAACTATTCAGTAGTGTGTGCACATGATTTTTAAAAACCGTTTCAGGCATGCAGATAAATTGCTCAGGAAGTGCAGAGAGCTCCCATCTAGCCCTCTTCATCTGCTCACAGCTCCACTTAATCATTCATGCCTTGCGTTTGTGTGCTATATTCACTACAGTGGATCTACTATTCTTGACTAAAGTCCACAGTTGGCAGTGGGACTCACTGTTTGTGCACTGCACGGTTTGTAGGTTTTGACAAATGCTTGTGGTCATGTATCATGCAGAATAGTGTTACCAGGCAGCGATTATTGTCTATTTCACATGCTACTAAGTCTGTCGGTTCGAGATAAATACGCTGCTGGAAGCATTGGTTTGCACTGTACTGTCCTGTCATCATTCCAGCTGCACACTCAGATGATCACAGACACACACTGAAAACCTGCTGACCCTAGCGGTATTGTTAGAAAACATTGTCCAGGTGAGATGGGGGGAAAATCTGAATCTAGGAATAAGTGATTTAGGGTTTCTCCTCTTAGTAGAATATTTTCAAAGGCCTTTGTTTTCATTGACAGGATGATGTATTTACTTCTCCTGCTCCATGAAGCAAGCAAGCATGCCCATCCATCTTTTATTTAGATCCTACATCCATCAGTCCTGAGTGATAGAATAAAGCCAATGTACGGGCTTCCCCCACTATGTGAAAGTAGAGTCCCACCCCCCCAAAAAAGAAATAAACTTTTTATAAGCCAGAATGGCATAAATAAAAAACCAACCACCATTAATATATATGGAAAACTTTTAATCATTCCTAGACCCCCAAAATAACCTACAGAATCATACCAACAAAACACATAAATCCTAAAATAGCATTAATGTACAGTAAAAGAAGAAACGTCAGGATAAATACACAGAAGAAATAGCTTATGCATGGTGTGGTTGCCAGGGAAGGAGCTTGGCGATGCCACGCTCACCACTCCAAGTGCATGCTGCCTTTTGAACGATTTGCCTCAGAGCAAGCACTGAACACTAGCTTTGCTTTTCTCCCTTTTCTGTGTGAAAGTGAAAATCCCTTTCAGATGTCTTTTAGGGAGGGCAAAGAGATACTAAAATGTGTCTTTCTTAAAAGCAACGTGTCATAAAGCAAACTTTTGGAAACTGGGTGATACCTGTAGACCAGATGCCCGCTGTGTTTGGGATGTGCAGTGAATGTGATTCTATTTCATCGTCACCATGGATAAGATAGTTATAGTATCTTCCCTTTATACAACAATTTCTTCTGCATTTTAGTTATTGAAAATTGTCAACACCCCCACCAACTTAAGGATTCCTGCATATCCAACCCAGTGTGGCCTTGACTGTAAGTCCACTGGCCCCCAAGCTTCCTTGTCAGTTTACCCCCATATAGATAGTTCTTTCAAAAAGCATAGTGCTCAGGGGAGAGATTATCTCATATTTCAAAGGAAAGTGTTGGCAATGAAATTCAGAGATGTTTAGTGACACCCACGTTCAGGCGTCCTGGTGTGGCGCTGTGGGTTAATGCACTGGACCGCAAAGTCGGCAGTTCAAGCTCACCAGCCACTCCTAGGAAACTCTGTACAGGGTTGCTGGGGCTTGGAACCAACTCGACGGCACTTAACAACAACATGTTCTGGTAGCTAGGTAGCTGCAGACATCAGTGTTCTCTCACAGTGTTCTCGGGGTCACTGTTTCCTCACGTCCATCAAAGCCATCTTTGACTTCTCAAAGGAAGTCCCCAGACACAAACAGTTCCTACGAAGTTTAAAGAGAATCTATGACATGCAAACTGCACATCGGTAAGGATATTTGAGCTCACATTCTCATGTTGGATTTCTAGACATGGACGCAGCTGGAGGAAGACCACCAGGACCTCAGCAGACAGCTGGAAGTCGTGGAGAGCAGTCTCCCGAGCGTGGGCTTGGTGGAGGAGAGTGAGGACAGGCTCACTGACCGCATAGCGCTCTACCAGGTCAGCATGTTGTCAGCATGGTGGTAGAGCTACTACATTTTCAACCGTTTTAGCAGAGTCTCAACAAACTTGTGACCATGTGTTTTACTCAGTGCTTACATTTTTGTGAGTTGTTGATATTTTGGAACTCACAAATGAAGACAGATTTTGAGTACTTGTTTTATAACAAAACATTAAAAATCTTTTCTTTCTTTCTTGAATAAGAGAACTCTTTGGAAATTCAACTTCCACCAATCATTTTCCATATCTTAGGCTAATTATTGCAATAATATTGAAACAATTATCATGTGATAGTTTTTAATGTACCTTATATTACTACTCTTCCAAATAAAATAAGTAAATAAATAAAAGAGAAAAAGAAATACATACTTGGATAAAAGATCGGAGAGTGTTTAATCTTACATAGAAGCACATGGTTTAAATTTGAAAAATGATTAACACCTTGGGCAGTTGAGAAGCTATAATCTTAAGGAGAAAAATGGCACTGTACAAAATTCTAACTGAATATTCTGAATTGTTCTAGCATTTAAAATGCAGCCTCAATGAGTCCCAGCCCAAACTGTATCAGATGCTAGATGATGGCAAACGACTTCTGATGTCCATTAGCTGCTCAAATCTGGAAGGCCAGCTCAACCACCTTGGAGAACAATGGCTCAGTAATACCACCAAAGTGGCCAAGGAACTTCACAGATTGGAAACCATATTGAAACACTGGACCAGGTAATGCCAGAAGCCATTGAGCCATTCTTAGATTTGCACCAAAGAGGACTTAAATATCATTAGGTACAAGACTTGAAAAGCAGGTGTTCCTGCAAGGAACTTGCTGCATCATTTGGAAAATACAAAGCCCCAACTGGATTCTTGTACTATTGTGTAAACGTGTCATTAAAAGTAGACAGAGAAGCAGTGGACAGTGTAACTGTTTCTGTCTGGTCTGTTGTTGTTGCCCTTGTTGGGGACCCATTGAGTTGATCTCAGCTCTCAGTGACAGACAAGAACTGTGCAGAGGGCTTTCTTGGCTATGATCATTATGGCTTTCAAATGGTCAGCTCCATTCTCCTACAGAGCTCTTGGGCAGATTCAGACACCTAACCTTTTGACTAGCAGCCAGGCACTTAAGGCTATGCCACCAGGGCTCCTTGCCTATCAACTGCATGTGAAAGCATGTATTGAGAAGATCAGGACTCCTAAGAGCAACAGGAAGTAGTCAAGAAAAGTGGAGGGTTGGTGTCTACACACCAAAACACTGTTTCTATGCCATTTTTATTGCAAAGAACTTTTAGGACTATTCAATTTTTTTTTCAAAATCACTTTAATGTAAAGGAATAGGAGAAATATATTTTTTAAAGATTTCAGTTTAGAAATAATCAATGTAAAACCCAGAGAGACTGACTTAATTAAGATGTAACTGTTAAAAGAAGAGAATTTCTGAGTGTTACCCCATATGCCTCCTAAGTGTATCTTGTCTCCTGTTTTAAAATCATTGGTGTTAATGAATGGTGTGGGTTAGCAAGGATGGACTACTTAGTTAACAGACTCATTAATATCCCTACAGATATAAGAGTGAATCTGCAGCTCTAATTCACTGGTTGCAATCTGCAAAAGACAGGCTCGAATTTTGGTCCCAGCAATCTGTTACAGTCCCACAAGAACTGGAAATGGTCCGTGACCATCTGAACGCTTTCCTGGTAAGCGTCAGAACCTCAAGCGTTCAATTATGTTTTATTTTTTTAAGGTAAGTCCCTAATCTGTGTGACGGTGAAAAGACAGGCTTACTAAAAGTAACCGGTGAAGAATTTGCCAATGAGAGCTTTCTATGTGTGTTCAATTAAGAATTCAAATTCAAAATAACAGTGCTCAGCTGTTCCACATTTCCTCTTTGAAGTAAATTTTAAGTGGCAGCTTCATAGTTGGTTTTCCTTCAAGGACACATTTTAGGATATTGTATTGAGTCTCTCGACTGCATTCAGTGTAACTCCCCCTTGAGTTGGTGAAACAGTCATTTCATGCAGTAACTTTTGTCTCCTTCCTTAAGTGAAAGGTCTGGTTGTTTAATCCTGATTTGAGCATTGCTGCTTCATTTAGGAGTTTTCTAAAGAAGTGGATGCCAAGTCCTCCCTGAAATCATCCGTTTTGAGTACTGGAAATCAGCTTCTCCGATTGAAGAAAGTGGACACAGCTGCCCTGCGGTCCGAGCTGTCCCACATTGATAACCAGTGGACCGAACTGTTGACACAGATTCCTGCTGTACAGGAAAAGCTCCACCAGGTAGAGAAGGAATTGTGGGATTAGTTACTAACAATTGATTAAAACCCTATTAACTAGAAATTATGTTAATCTACTTTTGGCTCACAATTTAAATCAGCTTTACCTTGGACATTCGTCATGCTTTCTCGCTTCCTTTGAATTGCATAGTAAATAGGAGTGTTCCATGAAATCCAGCTCAGATGGCCTTTCTTTGGGTTCATGGGCTCTTTTGTCATATATCAGATGTGTGTGTATGCAAGCACGCATGTGCATATGTTGTGATCCTGATCTGTTCTTGTTTAAACTCCTACTTTCCTCATGAGCAAAATGGAAGTAATTATCCATTCCTCATAATTTGAGAGGAAGATTTAAGAGCGTAATATATTAAAAAGACCTACCATTAAACTCACCAGCTGTCCCTCAGAAACCCTATAAATGGTACTACAAATTCAATGGTACTTAACAACGACAGCAGCATCTTACCTGAAAGAGTTCTGGCAGCATGGTGGGTTAAATGTTGGACTGCTAACCAAAAGATCAGCGGTTCAAACCCACCAGCAACTCTGGGGGAAAAAGATGAGGCAGTCAGCTCCCATAAAGATTTAGTCTCAGAAACCCTAAGGAGCAGTTCTGTGTCCTCTAGGGTCTCTGTGGATCAGAAGTGAGTTGCTGGCAGTTGGCTTGGTTTCGATTTGGATGATCTTACTAACCATCAAGCAACAGGCATTCAAAAAAGTCAGCACTCCTGTTGTGTGGAAATATGAGGAACTTCAAGGAGTTCACGAAAAAATTGCATTGTTTTTCATTCAGTTTTTCAATGAACTGTTTGAAACTCCCTTGTCTGCCTCCCTCCCCTGAAGGCCTGGATACTATATCTTTCTCTCTCTTTAACATTCATCCCTTTATACAAGGAACGATGGCTGTTGTTTAGTATGTATGGTGGATCCTTTCAGATCTTCAGCTGTGCAATGCTAGAAGGCACAGACTTCTATCTCTCTCCCCTTGAGCGCTTCTTAGAAATTGATCTATAGATATATTAAATGTATACAGATACTTACTTGTAATATTATTATTGTTGTTGTTAAATGCCGTCAGTGGGTTCTGACTCATAGTGACCCTGTTCCGAGGAGTGACTGGTGATTTTGAACTGCTGACCTTACGTTTCAAAATGACCTTGAAGTCCAGTGCTTATCCTACAGCACCACACCAGGACTCCTATCCGTAATAGTATCTGCATCAATATTTAGTATATAAAGTAAGATTCAAATTTCTAAGTATATTTTCTTTAAAGACTAAGGAAATTGGCTATGGCTTCAGGAGTAAATATCGGAATGCCAAAAATCTAGAAGACGACAGCTCATAGTGTGGTGTTTTTCTTTCTTCGTTTCACATTCCTGAATCATAATACATAGAGATTTGACAAGATAATTAATAAAATACATCTGTTGAATGTTTGGTAGTGAAAGCTTCTTTTTTTCTAACGCATAAAGCTAGTTGTGAAATAAGAATAATATTTTCTTCTCACTGGTGTTTTGATTAATTAGTTAATGTTGTTACAATGTTTATAGTATTGGATATCAAATGATGACTAGCATTCAATGTTTGCCTGATATTTAATTGCAAACATCGAGTATAGGGTTACAATCCAAGAATTTTCTTGGGAGGTGTCATCTCTGTTGGTACATGAGTAGGAATTCCTGTAGGGTTTTATCCTAGCAGAAATTGGGTTTGCATTTTAATACATTTGTGATTTATTCTGTCCCTATTTGGATAGCTCCAAATGGAGAAGCTGCCTTCTCGCCATGCTATTAGTGAAGTCATGGGTTGGATTTCTCTTATGGAAAGTGTCATTCAGGAGGATGAAGAGAATATCAAGAATGCCATAGGTTACAAAGCAATTCATGAATACCTCCAGAAGTACAAGGTCAGTAAACATTATGATTTTTTAATCATTTTATTTGAAACAACCTTAAATCTTTAAGGTTTTTTTTTTAATCATTTTATTTGAAACAACCTTAAATCTTTAATCATGGATACCAGATCTTGGAGTTTATGTTCCAAACCTAGTGACTGGATGTAAGTTCAGAGACAAGAAAACTGCATCTCTTCTTGGTTGTTGAGTGTTGTCGAGTCAGTTCCAACTCATAGTGACCGTCTATAAGGAGTCCTGGTATGGCTCTGTGGGTCAGTGTGCTAGACTCCAAAGTCAGTTAGAACCGCAAAGTCAGCTGTTCAAGCTCACCAGCTGTTCCTCAGAACCCTGTACAGGGTGGCTATGGGTCGGAACCGACTCGATAGCGCTTAACTAGTAACTACTACATGGAGTCCTGGCATGGCCTGTAGGTTAATACACCAGACTTCAAAGCTATTTGAACTGCAAGGTTGGCGGTTCAGGTTCACCAGCTGCTCCTTGGAAACCCTATACAGGTTTGCTATGGGTTGGAAT